GACGATTGCACGTCGTGTCCACTCTCTGACCCCCCCCTCCTACCATGTGGCATTCACCTTTTTCCCAACCACAAAACGCAGTTTAAATGGGAACCATGCCATCTACCTCAACTTCTATATAGGTATATATATGACATTTCATGCCAAAATGCAGACAATTGTCAATTGTAACAACTACACCCCTTTTTCCATATGCTCAGTTCGCTTCTCTGGCTTACTTTTTTCATCAGCTTTTTCATGGCATACACTGAGAGAAGAAGGAAGAACCCTCTTCTTGAGTTATATTCTTCTCTAAAACATTTTCTTTAAGATAACAGCTAGCATGCTTAGCCCAGCTATATTAATATTACCCAGATCAAGCACGTTTAATATTATCAGATAATATTTATCATGATTGTAAATCACTCTTAAGATTAATTTTGCCCGGTGTACGGGCCAGAGACCAGACCACATGCTAAACGAATGTTGACAAACAATTATTATTTTATTATTATTTGTTTGTCTGTTGTCTGAAAGTGCCCTCTCAGCACCTCTCCCTATCACTATCGCCGCTGCTGCTGCTGGTTCTGGTGCTGGTGCTGGTTCTGGTTCAGAATGTCTATCTATCTATCAGACTGACAGTTAGTTTGCATGACTTTCACAGATACTACCCACACACACAGATACTTTTCTCCACACTCACATGTCAGTGTTGTCGTCAGACCGTCTGCCTGGCACTTTTTTTCCAACGCCTCCTCTCCTCGCTCCGCTTTCTGTTTACTTTGTCTAACTGCTATTTGTAATACTATTCATGTTCTGCTGTTGATTATTTTATTATTAGTTTTTCCTTCGTTTTTTTTTTGTTTTTGTAGTTACCAGTAGAAGGCAGCAATCTTCACATGCAACATATTTTTTCGAGCTAAAATTAACTAAAACAAACACAGAGCGAGCTGAAGGGGCGAGTGGGTTGTTGGCGGCGGGGCATAAACAAAGTTTGACAGTTGAAAATCAAGCGCTAAAATATTTGCCACATCTTTTTTTTCCACTGCCCGTAATTGTGGCGAAATATTTAATGAAGTTCTCTGGGTTGTCGGTCTGATTGGTTTGGATTAAATGGCTGTCAGTTGGTGAAATGACAAGATGGAAGGGGATTTAGTAGATTGGGAAATTTAGTTTTATAGGGAAAATCATAGCTGTATAAACTCACATTTTTTTAGAACAAAAGATACAAGTTCTTTCTAACAAACCAAACTAGGTTTGGCCCCCCCGCCCATGATAAATATGTATCTTCCTTATCGAATCGCAATAACTTTCCACATTAAGATGCGTGGCAGAACCGTTTCCCCCTAACAGTATCTATCCATATCTGATCCATATTTCCCAACAGAATTTTCTCGGTATCTCCGAGAGAACATTTCTATGAGCTGGCATACAGTTTTCCAGCTGAAGCATCACTAATAACTTAATTCGATTCGAGGAAATGGCCAGCTACAGCAGCAGCGAGCGAGTATTCTCATTCACATTGGGGCATATCTAAAGGCAGAAATCTAAAGCTTAATGGCTCATTAAAGCGAAGAGAGCGGGCGTTTTTCTTTATTATTACGAATTTATATTGTTGGTAATGTGAATAAAAATTCAAATTCAAATGGCAATGTGTGAGAGGCTGCTAATTATGCATGCCGCATATATGCGTTTGCATTAGAAAAACGGCAGCAACAGGCTGCTTATGCAATCCGAATGCAATGCAAACCGACAAGGAGGGAAAACTACAACAACTACTATATAAAAAAATACAAAATAACAGCAAGAAAAATTATAATAATAATGCAGCAGCAGCAGCAGCGTCAGGAGGCGTCAGCATGAAGGGGGAGTGTAGGAATATAAAAAGAGATAGGAAAATGTAAAGGAAAAAAGAGATACAAATAGGAGAGCGTTGCAATAATGGCAAACGAACCGAGGCACGCAGTTGGCCTACCAAATGAGCATTTCACATCGTGTGAATTTTAATTAAAGCACCGCCAACATCACTAGCAGTGGCAGAAGTGGCAGCAACAAACAGCAACCAAAGTAAGACGCACTAAGTCAGCGAGCTTACTGCTTAATTAAATGCAACATATGCCGCTAATTAAATTTATGTGACCGTCGCAAACTTTGATTATCAAAAATTATTTATGCAAAATCTCTGACAGGAAATACCTGGCAACTGGCAAACTGCAGCTAGCAAACTGCAGCTAGCAACCTGCAACAGGCGATGCATGGCCTGATAAGCCCAACAGCAACAACATAAACAACAGTAGCAACAAAAGCCAGACTTAATTTAATTGTACATAGTTTTTGGTTGCCATTGTTAATTATGCTGCAGCGTTGTGGCTGCTTTGATTTAATGAGCGAGTGCGAGGTTAATTTATTGAATTTATCGGGGGAGAGCCAATCGAGTGATAAACTCAATTAAAAAGGTGAATCACCTATCGATTTACCAAGAAATTAAGCTATAATTTAAGTCTCAAATATATATTAAATTAATGGCAATTCATTTTGTATGGTACTCAGTTAATTTATGGTCCCTGGCTAATATTTTGAGCTCTGAAATTGGAAAATTGATTGGTTTATCTAACCTGCAATTAAATTAGCATCATTAATTAGCAGAAGTACCTCCTAAAACATACATTTTCAAACCCGAAAATAACTTCCAAATGGAATTTGTAACGTTAAGGGTATTACTCAACTCCTGAATGAACTGCAATGACACTTTCTGTGAATGACAACAACTTTCTGTCCGATTTGCATTTGTGCAATGCATCAGCTGTACTATATATACGCAGATATATATCTAGATATATATATATATATAGTATACATCAGTCCGAGGTGTATAAACAATGTGTGGCAAACACTTGCACTATGCGCATAATCGACCAGGGAAACCTCTTACATATTTATTTATCGTGCCAAGGCGGCAGAAGGCAGTCGCCGGCAAAGTGCGGAAACTTTGGCCAGATACAGTGAGTCACCCTAATGGAAATTGTGATCTCCCTCTCTCTCTCTCTCTTTCTATGTCTGAATTTAATTCATTAAATTAAAATTAATGTTTCGATTTACGCGCAATTTTACAGCATTTCTGAGAGTGAGTGAGCCTGGCCAAAAGTATTGCCAACCGAGCATAAATTAAAATATATTACCAGCAACTTCAGCTTGTTTAAAATTAGCCAGTGGAGAATGCAACAACATCATTATGATCGCGATTAGCACACAGATAGCTTAGCTTTTCCCTCGTAATTTAATTAGTTTGCTGGGGCCAGAAATTGGATATTGTTGATGGCTTTGCATCTGACACTTGATTGACAGCAGCTGGCAAAAACCAAAATATAAGCAAAAATGAATGCCTCCTAATGGACTTCGCAGATTTAAGTTTAAGCAAAACGGGTTTTCCTTTGGCTGGGAAAATCGCTGAGCCTGATAAGAGATCTTACAAGTAAATCAATATTTTTCTTACCCCCTTACATCAGGTACTATAATTAAGCGATTGTGCCGCCGCGATTGGAAAATTAAAAACGTTTTAACAGCGATTTCGCAGAGATAAGATTGCCCAAGCTAAAAAAAAGTAAACCAAAAACTAAACTATTAAAAAACAAGTTAAACAAAATGTGTAACAAGCGAGAGAGCGATGGGGATGATAGACTACACTATGTTAGGCAGCTGTTTTGTCATTAGAAATGCCAATTGCACGGAAAACTCAAACGTCGAATGTGAAATTATTTTTAATGAAATGTTGCGTCATTAGGCTAGGGCTAGGGCGAGTATGAGAGGGGCGCGTCTGGCCGGCGATTAGATGACCCATTGTTGGTTTTTGTTTAATTTAGCTAAAAGTCCATTAAACGTTGTTATAGTTCTTATGGCCCGATGGCACTATTAACGTAATTGTTTATAAGGCAGTCGGGCTGCCTTTGCTTTACACCTTATGGCCTGGCTTATATATGTTGGCCGTAAGGCAGAAGGATACCAACAGCCAATAGCCGTAATTATTATGATGTGTGACATGCAGAGCCTGCTCGGCCGGCGGTCATTATCATTATGCTCAGGTACAGTGAACTGTCCTTGATGATGATGGTGATGGGGTAACCTGATTTGGCCTCCAGTGAAGAGCAGCCTGGTCAAAAGGATCCCAATGATGGGGTTCGGTCTTTAAGGTTTAAGTACAGAAATTTTGAGAACTTTTTCATATTGATGGTAGTCTGAAATACTGATAGTAAGCCCTATAAAATAAATTAGTTATTAAGTTATTAAGAGTTATTATCGAAGTCTTATTGGGGGAAAACATGGCCAATAAAATGATTTTTTCTATAATTTTCATCGCTGAAATCGCATAAAACGACCACAAGAGACTGGCCTGATATAAATAGCACATTTACAGGGCTAATAAAAACAGTAATAAAAATTATACAATGGAAAAGTTTTTCAAGCTGCAGTCTATATACCATATATTATCGCATAAAATTCCAATAGGCCGGGCATGATAATAGAAGAGCCTCCATAAAAGTTGAGGAAACTATTTCCTCTTATAGAAGTTTATGAAGGTGCCTTTTCGGTTTCTGGTTTTATGAGAGTAACCCGAGAGTTTTTCACAGGTGAAGAGGAGTATAGGCAGTTACAGGTTCATCGACTGGCAAATGTAGTTAAAAGAAAAGTAAAAGAGAACCAATAGCCCAGAAACAGATACGACCTCGAAAACATATCGACTTTGAATCAGCAACAGTATTTACCAGGCCCATCGCCTGCCCTGGCCACTTGTCAACGCCATCAAATGGCAAAAGGCAAGGAAAAATAAAATATCAAAGGAGTGAGCTCACTTTATTTTTATTGCATTTTAGCAACGCTTACTTTCGAACAATCAATTCAACTCTTCCTACCCTCTAAATGCCTCACTTTACTTAAGCAAACTGATTTTTATCATCGCTGCCGTCGCGTCGTTTTATGAGCATCATCAAAAACTAATAAAAACTCAATGCGTTCTTTATTTGCAGGCAGACGACGACAACGACGACGTCAAAAGTCTCTCGTACTCTCGTACTCATTTCTTCTTGCCTCGAAAAAGACAGACCTCTCAGACCCCACAGAGCTGGAGAGAACTGGAAGACCCCGAAGACAAACCAAAAAGGAGAGACTCTTGTGGAGCCGCAAAGCAAGGCAAAGCAACATGTTGCACATGCACTCGCCTAAAAGCAATTTGCATACAAATGTTGCCAACGCACTTCAAAAACTGCACAATCACAGGGGGTTTTCTTTAGGGGTTTCCGGAGGGGTGGTGGTGTGCTGCAGCGGCAAAGAAGGGTAAAAGCCGCTTCATAATTTGATATTAAACATGCACGCGTCTCTCCTTCTCTGTTCCGCTTATGTCGATGCAACTTGTAAATTTGCAAATTGCTGAAATGCATGACAGGATGAGGAGTATCTAAAAGGGGCGGGGGGTGGAGGGGAGGGGTAGTCCTACGGGCAGCTGCGTGAATTTGCATTTACATCAAGGAACCGCAGGACAGGAAAAGGACAGTAAAAAGTTAACCGAAAATTCAGCCTCGCAAGGAAACTGAATAAAAAAGCGAGGTCTGGCTCAATTGACTTTCAATTGCAAAACAAACCTAATGCACTGGCAGAAAAGTGGGTCAATAAGAATGCTTTATTTTGTGATTTATTAAAGAAAACAAAGAGGTTATCACTGGAAAGAGTGCCAGCTTCCATTCCTAATAACTTTCCTGTACTTAAAAGTTGAAAATTTAAAAACAAGAAGCTAGAATTTACTACTTGAAAAAGTTTTTCAAACCTTCGGGCCATAACTCAAATACATTTCTCTCAGTGCTCTCCTTTTTGAATACAAAAGACAAGCCCAAATGAATTTATTTTCAATTTTATTTTCAATCTGCTTTTCGTCCGTCATATGATTGACATGGTCGATTGAACTGCTGGCAAGCCAGCGAGCCAGCGAGCGAGCGAGGGAGTGGAACGATACACATATCGTTTATTTTTGGCAGCAAGTGTTTGCCTTCGGTTTGCAGTTTTGTTAATACTGCACTCGAAGATGCCCGCCCGAGAGACACCTCCTCCACTTGCCCAAAAGATTCGAAAAGGGCACTCGAAAACAAGATCTTCGCCGTCTTAATAAGCTGGCATACACACTTTTTATATCAGATTCATACACGCAATTATATGTACTCAAATTCCAAGATATATATATATATATCAACGTGGGTATATAAATCATATTTATGAGACATTTCCCCTGGAGGAAAAAGAGAAAATACGGAAAAACATGTGAATGTTAAATAGGCACGCAATGTGCAAAAGGGATGGCAGGAAAATGCGTCACTCTTCCCCCATTTCCCTCAGACTTTTCCTTAACGAAGGAAAACAATAATCAATAAGTAATACCACTGTGTGTTGGGAAAGTCACCCTCGATTTATCCATATTTTCCTCCCTCTCATTGCCCGCCGCTCATATGTGTGTTACAATTTCTGCTGCCTTTTCGCCTGGGTAGTTCATAACTTTTCTCTCCTGTCTGTGTGTGTGGTGGTTTTTTCTTGGTTCTTGGCCAGGACTTTAGGCGTTTGACAGCCATGTTTGTCCTTCACATATACACCACACAAACTCACACATGATTGTTGTAGGCGTCGCCTTGTGGCACCCCCAAAAAAATACCTATAAGGAAAAAGTGTTGCGGAAAAGTGTGCCACCAACTTTTTGCCCGAAAAAAAAAGTTTGTCTGCTGACACAGATCTGTGTGTGTATGAGCGAGATAGGTAACTTAAGCTTCAGACTCTGGCTCTCTCTTTTGCTCTGAATGTAGGCAAAAAAAGGAAACTAATAGGTTTGGGAAAATTAGTCTTTTATGCTTTTTTTTTACAATAATTATCACAACTTTAAATATTGGTACTGGTAATTATCTTTAATATTTTTAATGACACTTATAAAATCGTTTTAAAACATAGAATTATCATATTAAGAGGTGTATAATTTGTAAATTAACTTTAAATAATTATGCAATATTTATTTATGAATTTTATTCTAAGCTTTCTCTCTCTAAAAAGCACTTAAATTGGATTTTAAACTCTTTTATCGACAAAAATAATTTCTAAAAATATTAAAAATCAGCCAAAATATTTATAAAGTATAAAAAATACTTTACTATCTTTCGAAAAAACTTCCGAAATTTTCCATCAACAACATCCATGAAACAGACCTTTTTTGGCTGGCCAAAGAGTTACCAAAAACAGAAACAAATTTGAAAAATTTGGTTAAACTTCGGGTTCGTTTTAGGCCCAGCTGATTTATTGTCATAAATTTCATTGAAATTCATGAGACTCTTGGATGAACCTCAAAAATGTAAAAAAAAATAATAAGAGAGAAACAGGGCGTGGCCTAAATGATGTGTGTGTGTGTGTGCGTATGTTGCTGCGCCTACGCAATATGCCTCTAAAAAGATTTATTTGAATGGAACGAAGGGAAATTATAATATTTTCCAACTTCTATTATTGAAAAAGAAATATAAAAGAAATAAGTTAGAAGAAGAAATCTGTGGGGAGATTATGAAAAGAGCTGTTGATGTATGAATTGTATGGGGCCCTCTCATAAATCTACGGGGCCCTGTCAAGGTGTCCAATACTATTTTGTGTGTTGTTGTTGTTACTCTTGTTGTTGTTGCTGTTGTGCTCAAGTGGCAGTCATAAATTTGAAATTTATGTTCATCTCTCGTTTGGATTTTGTTCCCACTTTTCTTTGTTGTTGTCCATTTACCATTTTTTTTTGTCGGTTTTGGTCAAGAGAACCTGCCACAAAGCAAAGTTCTTTACTCGCTTGTTAATTAAATGCGATTGCATCATCGCATCTCTCAGCTGCCGATCTCTATAGTAACAGTCGGGGTAAAGATAATAGTGCTTGGATACAATTTTGCCAGAAAGTTTCTTTACTTTTTTCTATCTAACATTTTCCATGCAGTTAAAAATCATTTTAAATTCTTTTTGAAGCATTTTTTTTGGGTAAATCTAATTTCCATATTGTTAACCCTCATTGTTGATATCTTTTATCAAGCTATGACTGGACAGAAATTGTCGCTAATCGCTGCTCATGTACCCCAAGACATGACGCATTTGTCTTTGTCTTTTTCTTTCGGCTTTGCCGGCTTTGACACATTTTTCTTATGAATTTTCTGTATTTTCTGTATTTTTCCCCAACTCACTAATTTTTCGTGGCGTGTTTGTTCTGACCGCCAAAATTGCTTGTCCAACATTTGTTGGACATGTTTTTGTACTTTGGTTCGGCTTTTTTAATGTTTTTTTGTTGTTGTTCAGTTTGGAACATACAAACTACACGCAAGTGCGGAAGATTTTTAGGCAGATCCGTTAAACATCAAAATCAACTCTTTCAAGCTCATTAAACAGTCAGTGGGGAACACAGCGCCAGCAACAACAATAAAGTTATGGAATAAAGCCAAAAGTTGACCTTCAAAAAACGCAACGCAACCAAGCGAAAATGGCAAAAAAAAAAAAAAAAAAAAAAAAAAAAAGGGAAAAAACATAATACTAAAAATAACAAAAGTCAGAGCTGCTTGGAAACAGGTTGTTGAATCGCTCTCTCTATTGTTAACATTTTTTTATTATGCTTTTTTTTCAAGCGGAAAGCAGCAAAAGCCCCGAAACTCTTGCATTTTTACGATTATTTACGATTCGAATTCATTTCTCTGGCGATTTTTGACCTTGCAGTTGTTGCACTTAACACGTGCCAGAAATTAATAATGAAAGAGCGTGTTTTCAGGTGTTAATCACACGGCGGGCTGTACGAACAAAAAACAACCGAAAAAAGCAGATATGGCCAGCTAAAAAAAAAACAGTCTTAAAAGGCGCCAAAAATATTTCGACGACGAACAAAAAATAACATTTACAAACTAGAAAGGAAATTGATTTCCAAAAACCGAATCTTTCATGCTCTTTTGGTAGGAAGAAAAGGTTAAAGAGTAGAAATCAACCAACCATGTCACGGCTTTTAGAAGTTGCAAGTTAGGCTTACGCTGCAGAGTAGTTGTTGTAAGGAAAATATAATACAGCGAGGAAAACTTACATAAATATATTCCTAAATGATCTTGTAAATCTATCTATCAAAAAACTGGAAATATTCTGAGCTTTAAGTATGATTCTCCCCCTGAAAAACAGAATCTTCCAACAATCCCGATAACAGATTACAAAATATCAAATCATCTTTATCTCTTAAAGTATTATAACTGCTTATTAAACTACCGTTTAAAGTTATAGTACCCTGTAATACTCTCAGATACAAAATATTCTACTCATAAATGGTCGTTTGCCGCGATGACGAAGAGTTTGCCTATTGTAGATCTTTATTTGCCCGTTGCTTTTGTTGCTTTTGTTGTGGCCACTTCAAAAGTCGTGTGCGAGTTCTTGTTGTTGTTGTATATCGCTTGTTTACTTTTACGGTAAATACGAAAAGCAAGACCAACAACAAAAACAACAACGAGGACTACAAAAATGCGCGCGCTCGTCGCGCGTATCTAGATAAATATCTGTGAAAATACACTTGAGGCCAAGCTACTGTACATACGCACGGCAACTGCTATGCCGGCAGCGACGTCAACTGAGATAGGCCTAGGACACAGTGGGGAGCATTAAAATGGGAAAGGTTTTCTATGAAGGTTCTTAAAAGGTATTTTAAATGTTTTGCTTAAAAAGTTTAATATTATTACTCTAAAAGTTAATAGCTCAAATGTTAGTACAAGCTAAAACATTATTTTTAATTTAAAATTAAACTCAGCTTCATTTATTTTCAGTGTTATAAGAAAAAACTTCTTCAGAACTCCCTATAATTTCCTCTCAGAATCTTTCGAAGCTCTCAGTTTTTCGCCCTTAGCTGTTTTTTGTTTGTTGCTGCTTTTTTTTTTGCTCCAGCGAAGGCAACGACCAAGAACAACAACAACAACAACGAAAGGCAGCGGCAGCAGCAACAACAAGCGATGACGATGCCGCGCAAAAAACAATCGTAAACAGATCATCGAACTCCGTGGCTCTGTTGTTGCTGTTGTTTGCTGCCGTTGGCCTTGAAATGCTTTTTAGATTTCAAACACACTTTTTTCTCAGTGCAAGCCTTTTTTGGCTCAAAACTTTTTAATTGTTTCATTAATTAAAAGAAGCATTTGTTTTTGTTTTCGTATCTTTTTCTATTTCGCCTTTTTGGTGATATTAATTGAGTTGAAAACGCGTGCGGCGCCCACGCGGCAAGCAGCGACGTTGGCGTCGACGCTGACAGAGCGGCTTTCACCGCTGCTTGCGTCATGTTGGGCCACAAAGCTACACGGCGGCAAAGCAACAAAAATATGCAGTTTATGTGTGAGTATGGGTGTGTTTTTGAGCGCCAGTATGTGTGTGTGTGTGTGCATTGCAGCCGCTACAAGTGGGCAATTTCACCACCGTTTGGAAAACCACCACCGCAGCAAAGAAACCCACCATGGCAGCGACGCCGACAGCGACCAACCACAAAACCGCGTGCTTTTCTGTTTTCAGTTTTCCGTTTTAGTCGCCAAACGACTCTCAAAACCGAAGGTTGCAAAACGCGGATAAAAATTTAGCCGATTTACTAAGTACAAAAATTTAAAAATACGAAATTTATTAGAATTTTTAAGGAAAAGTAACAAAAACTTGGACAAATTTTGTTTTAAAAAATCATAGAACACCCGGTTTTCAGTGTTAATTTTACCCTTTAAAGGTTCTTAATAAAAGAGAACGAAAAACTGGAATTACTTGATCGGTCGGCTAAAGTCGCTTATATACGCGCGTGTGTGTGTATTTGTGCTGCACTTGTAGCGCTGCTTACGTGCACAAGTGAACGTCGACGCGTTTTCTAATCTGGCGATTATCGATTGATAGCGATAAGCCGCAGTCGACGTCAGCGCTGGCAGCGGCTGCAACACGCACACTAAGAAAAACAGGAGAAACCCGTAAAAATACACTTAACGAAAAAACATAGAAACTTCAATAGATGCGCGCGAAGTTTCTGCGCGCGTTTAAAGTCGCGCGATCGAAAAACCTACGCTCGGCCGCAGTCGACGCCGCTGCCGGCTGCCTTCAGTCGCAGTCGCTGCCTCTGCCACTGCCGCTGCCAACGTCGACGTCGAACATCGCCGCATTTCGAGTTATTTTCTGCGCGACTTCGCTGCGTTTTTTTCACTTCGGTTTCGGAGCTCCAAAGTCGCGCATCAAACGCTCGCAAATCGCTTCGTGTTTTCGCATTCGCGTGACTTGACAAAAAATTCGTAAAAATTTTCAAAAACATTTTACTAGTGTCGTAAAATATGGAAATATATTAAAATAACGGACTAAATAAAAGAAATGAAAATTAAAATGATTTAAAATTAAAAATAAAATTCATGCAAAAATTAAAAAGGAGTTTAAAAAAATATCAACTGAAAATAAAAGCTCGAAAAAGACGAAAAAATAAAAAACGTTATAAAGATAATGCTAGGAAAAATCATAAAATTAAAAATAAAGAAATCAATAAATGCAAAGGAACGGCTTAAAAAATATAAAAGAAAACTAGAAGAACTTAAAATATAAAAATTCTTCAAGAAAATTTCTGAAAAAATCTAAATAATATCTTCCTTCCTTATGAATAACAAAAATGATCTGCAATTTTGAGAAATTTCCAACGAAAATAAACAAATAAACTTTTAAAATAATTGTTATCCTGTTTAAGTAGAAAGAAAATCAAATTTGTCTAACTTCCTCTTATAAATTGCGTAAAAATAAACAAATATTCACAAAAAAATACTTAAAAATTATCTTGGAAAGATAAACTTTTAATATTTTCCATGAATTTTTCTAAGAACTTACCTTGAAAACTTTCCACAAAAATCCTGAAGAATCATTTATATTTTTAACAAATAATAAACATTAAACCCGCCCCTAAAAACACACATTTCCAGATTATTAATTATGATTTGAAAATTATTTAAATTCAAACCAAAAGTTGATCCAGCAAAAAACACCAAAAACGTAAAAGAAATATGTAAAAAACTAAACTGAAAAAGCTGCCAAGCGAGAAACGATGGAGGAGGACGGACCATATATACCATATATAACCATACCATATAGTCGTCGTCATCATCATCAACATCGAGCTAGAAATTCCCCCAGCTCGCAAATCCCATGAAGAGAATCCCATCAGCAGAATAACAACAACAACAACAACTACTACAGAAAATATAAAAAAAACAAATAAGAATAAAAAAAAAAAGAGTTGGAATTTTTGTAAGCTGGTATGTGAGTTGCTGTTCGCCTCTTTACGGTTCGAGTTTTGTGAAAAAAAAAACCATAAGAATAAAAAAAAGAAAAGGGAAACACGCTGGCAAGATATTTTTTACCTGGTTTTTGCCATCAGCGAGGTATAGAGTTCCTACGTTCATTATAAACTCGTAGGAACTTCATACCGTGCTCTTGGAAGACCAAAAAACAACAAACTAAATGCAAAAATCCCAAAAAGTAAACCTACAAAGCAAACAAAAAGTGCGTTTTAACGTTTCAAAAAAAAAGAAAAGAAAGAAAACAAAACTAAAACGATGAGAAAATGCTGGCCATACCAAAAGGAAGTTGCAAATGATGGGAAAGTAAGAGTCACTATTAAAAACACTGATCCAAAAATACAGTAGCAGTGTGTTGTTTACCCAAGTTTATTATAGTCATTTAATGAGAGGTCTTTAACTTAAGTTTGCCCATTAAAGTGCGGCTTGAAGAGATTGAAAAATGGTTGGTAAGAAGTCTACTAAATACTATAATTATGCTTATTATATAAATGTTAATTTTGAGTTGAAAAGTTATAGAAGTTAGAAAGGGATAATATCAAATAGGAAAGCTTGTTCCTTGGAAACTTATTCGTTAGCAGTAACTAATTAATAATTTGTAGTATAACATCATCAAGGGATGCGATCAATGGAAAGTTTCTTGGTTTCTTTAAATATGGTTTATGTTTTGAGTTAAACTTTTAATACATTTCTTGGTAAAATAACAAACATCTTAAACAATATTTGAAAATGCAGACAAGTCTCCAACCAACACTCTTTTTATAGAAAACACCTAGAAAAAAACTGATAAAAATAGTAAAAATCATTCATGTAAAAAGTAAGTTTCCACAAAATTATGTTTAAACTTGATCTCTTTTAAAAACATCCCAAAAAAATCCTACAAATTATGAATTAATTTAATTTAACATTACAAAATTCTGTAAAATAAAGTTAAAACTTTCCTTTCAAAAAATCCCCCATAAAAACGAAACATAAAAAATGCACAACGATCTCAGAGAAACACTTCAAGATACTAAAACACATTCACAGCCACCGATAAGATATGGAAAGGCACTTCTGAATGAGTAATGCCCAGAGTAGAAGGGCGATCGAGGTGCGGCTGCTGCTGCTGCTGCTGCTGATCCGAGCCACTTGAAAGTACTTGTCATAAATTAACAAACATTATTTCTAATCTAACTAAATATCAATTTCAATTAATTGCCAGCCCACAGATAACGTTGGATTTGTGGGTGCCTCCTCCTCTGTCCCTCTCTAAATCTGTATAGCCGTCTCTCTCGCCGGCTAAATGGCTACCAATTTGAATTTAGTAATTACTAAAGTTGTTGTCTCTTCGACTAATGGAAATTGTTTGTTGTTGATTGGTGGCTAGTACGGCGAGAGAGAACTTGCTTGATTGTGATTTGAGATGAGAAGATTGTCGATCTATTAGAAGGGGTTAAAAAAGGGTTACGCAAAGCCATTAAAATTGTATGAGAAAATCACAGAAAAACCTCTGCAATATTTAGTTTATTATTTCCTTAAAAAGTCTACCTACTTCCATTTTTTCGCCAAGAACTTTTCAGTTTTTATATCCTCAGAAATAAGCAAAAATACATAAAAAGTCATTTACAAAAATCATTTAACTCGATATTAATGTCTGGACATGGGAAAAGATATGGACTCCAAACTGATAGGGGAAATGCATGCCATTTTTATTATATATATTTCTTTTTTTTTGCTATGCCCGATAAGCAGAGAAATAAAAAATAACAACACCAACAATTTGCAATGACACACACCAAAGGCCACAATGATAATTTTATCAACTCAAAAAAAAAAAAATATGAAAAGAAAAATGGAGGAGTGTGAAAAAAAAATATATAAAATATAATTTGCTTTATCGTACAAAATGGGAATGAAACGAGCAAACGGCTTCCTTGTGGCTTTCGCAATTTTCGCAGCAGCATATTCGCCACTGTCAGTTGTTGTTGGCCAAAAAGGATGGCGACCAGCCGGCCAACAGCGCTTTAAATTCCTTCACTTCGCCACTGCTGTTGCAGCAGTTAATTTAATTTCAGCTCATAAATCAAAACTGTGCCGCGCAAAATGTTTGCTTTTGACGCGCCGTTTTTGTCGCCAGTCTACCGACATCGCTGGACAATTGGACAGCGGACATTGGCCATTGGACAACTGGAACGGACATATAGGACAGCAGCTGGAGGATCAGGAGTGGGAGTTGCTGTTGGTCAAACCAGAAGGTGGCGGAGAGTGCAGGCCACGAGTCCACTTCAAAGCCGCCTGATGTTTGGCAAACACATGGTCAGTAGTGGAGGAGTAATTGGCAGGGGAATAATATTAAACCTTCTTTTTAGAAAGCAAAGAAAAACTTAGAAAAATAATATACTTAAGAGGTCAGTCAGAAAATCTAGAAATAAGTTGAATATGAAAAATTTTTAATGAATTTTTCAGAAACATGTAAACTTCTCAAAAAACTCTTTAAGAATGTTTTTAACATCAACATATTTTGGCATTTTCTGCGATATTTAATATATTTTTGGTTTACATTTAAGATTATTAAGCTAAAATATGTAAAGTCAAGATTAACATTGTTAAGAATACATTTTTGTCAACCAAATTGAAAAAACATTGTTATTAACTTTTCTAATGTAATATTTAAGTTCATCATTAAAATTTTCCACTATTTTTTCCAATTTTTAAGCCTATAATTTATCATTTATCTTTAATGCTATATAAAAAAACGTTACAAAAATAAAAACCCATATGGTCCAAAAGTAAATTGAATGCTTTTTCATTAACCTTTATCATGAGCTAACTCCACTCTATGATTCACTGGCCAAACAACTGGTTTTTTTTATCGCAGGTCAGTCTCTGTCCTCTGCAGCTCCCTACACTCCCCTACATATCTCTCGGACGGCCCTTCCCAGAGTTAACCAAGCCCCTTCGGCCGCAGACCCATTCCCAGTCCCAGTCCCAATCCCAATCCCATTTCCATTCGAGGGGCACTCAAAAGCGTGACAGTAAATAGTAAACTAAATGACAAGTACTCACAATAGTTAGATAGATAGCCGGGGATAGTTGGGCCCAGAGATGGGCGACACAGATATATGTGCCAGCAGAGAAATACTAAAACAAAAAATGGTAGTAAAATGGAGAAAAAATAAAAACTGGGTGTGTACTTTTATGCCAAAATGTTAACCCTATAAGCAATGAAGCTCGTTAAATGCCAATCGCATTGACACGACCCAAAATGTTGACTAAGTCGGGGAGAGAAAGATATATATAGTGTTGGTACTTGACTAATCCGATGGGCAGCCATGATCATATAATGGTAATTGGAATTATTACTGACTGAAGTTTAAACTTTTCTTAGTTCAGATGTTAACTAACTAAAGAGAATCCGAATGAGATCTCTAATGGAAAGAGGAAAAGACTATACAATAATCTTTTTAACAAAAGTAAAACCCGTAACGGATTTTTAATAGTTAAACATTTATTGTAGTCCCCCTGAAAAATGTTCATAAATCTTGTAAAACAAAGCTACTCTTTTATTGAAAAAAAAAGGGAAAAAGAAAACTGTAGAAGTCGGTTGATAACATCAAATGAAAGCTAACGGACCGAAACATCAGGCGATGTTAGGCATTTTTGGCTTTATCAGTAAATAGTTTTCTAATTTCGCTTTTTACAAAACGTTTATCATTAGGCAGTGTTTGTTCAAGGTCTTTGTTTTTGAAAACTTTCTTAAAATGCTTCCATAAAGATGCAAAATAATGTATAAAATTTGATTATTTATTTCTTATAAAGAGTTTTCTTCACTTTGCGATGGTTATTAAGTAAATATCTATGAAATACCTTTAAGATAGGCCACTGAATCACCCTTTTACATTGAGAAAACTTCAAACTGATAGTGCCAAATTATGTAGGTAGTTTGTATTCAATCCACATAAATATCTGCCATTTAATTTAATGTACTTCTCTCCCAGAAAATTTATTGTTCGGTTTTAGTTTTGCGATTCGAGTGGCGACGACTATTCCCTTCCGCCCGCAACTT